ACATGTAAAATGCATCCAGTCTTGCCTGCTCTGTGTCAGTCCGCAGCCTCCTCAGCACATTTCTCTCTTGTCCACGTGGTGACTGGCGTTGAACAGTGCAATGGAGGAAGGCAGCTGACATCCAGGGAGGGCCAGAGAGAGGGAAAAGCTCTCCTGAAGAGAGGAAGCTAGGAAACAAAACCAGCATGTCATGGGTTTGGAGGAAAATAATAATAAAAAATCACAGCTGTGAATGAGGAGGAAATCAGGGGCTTGGGCAAAGCGTGTACGTTTATGACACAAAAACTCTCGCCTCCATATTTTTTTTCCTGCAGTTGGATGCTACAAAGAGTTTAAAAAAACATAAAAGAAGTCTAGCAAGACACAGCGCATTCCCAAATCTCTTTTATCACCAGCTGTACAGACAGTTAACTGTCTACTCTCCTACAGAACCATGTGATTATTACCTGCAACAACCTGCCAGGAGGATTCTGATACTAAATTCCCATCTTTTGGAGAACAGTTACAGGACACTGAACACACAGCGTAAGGACAGGTAAGGAAGAGAGCGTACAGCAGAGGAGCAGTCAGGAGCTCTGGGAGACCAGGGACTCACCCAATCCAGGGAGCAAAGGGTGCAGCAGCTTGAGCAGATGACTCAACTCTGTGCTAAAGGCTATTTCCAGTGTTTGTCTGACAAGGGCTCTGCCTTCGTGTCTCCTCTGAAAAGATTCTCTTTTCCTTATGGCGAAACACTCTGACCCACATCACACAGAAGGCCAGGCTAATTATAACGACCCATTTTGGGTGTAAACTCTACAAAGGCATCTCTGTCTAGCTGTCCTACCAGCCTCAGCCCTGCCTGCTGCAGCCCAGCCTGGTCCAAGAGCAGCCCTCCCGGGGTCTGGATCCCCACCAAGAACAGGCCCTTCTGCCCGCAGATCCCCGCGCGGTTCCCCATACACACCTGGCAGCTGAGGACTGCCATGCCCTCAGCCTTTCCAGTTCCGCTGCAAGCGGAGCCCCAAAGAGTCTCTTCCACTGAGAGCAAAGTGCTGGCTCCAGCCGCGGCCACCAAAGCTGGGAAGAAGGACAGAAGCCAGCAGCATTACCAGTGGCACACTCAGCAACACCCAGGGTACTAAAACATCCTGCGATTTTCCAAAGGCGTTAAGAATTGCTACCCCCACACTTCACAGCTTACGTTAAATGAAGTTTAAAACAAGCGCTCGGAACTGGCACTGAATTCTCATCTAGCACTCTTCAAACGAAATAAGATTTACCGCTGCAGAGAGAAGCACGATGGGACATTTGGTTTGACACGCTTTTAGAGCATCGTTGACCCCTTCAGCCGGTTCTTCACAGTCCAAGCTGGCATTAAGCAGGCCCTGGCAGAGAATAAATGACATGATGACTACACACATATGTCCTTGAAGTACCTCACCAAGCCGTGTGTAAACCCATCAAAGAAAACTGTAGGGGTCAGCATGGCCCAGCAAAAGAAACTGCCCAACAGCTTCTCCTTCCCCCACCAACTTTGCAGTATTGTATTAAAATTAACCTCTACCAGTACTTCAACTGCTCTTTCTCTCCCTTTCCTGAATTACTGCTCTTCTTTTTGGAATTTACACCAACGACCCTCAAAACAAGGGTACAAGTCGCATATCTCATAGCTAAGAGTAGCATATAGCTGGGTATGCTGATAAAGAACATCCACCCCAGCTAGCAGGGACAGTGGAGCAGGATGACAACAGCAGCAGTTACCCTGAAGAAGTGAGCGGTGATGTCGTAGGAGAGCGCATACCCTCTGGAACAGACGTTCTTCTGTGGGAAGACAAGGAGAGGGAAAAAAAAATTCATTCCTTCCCTTTTGAGTGATGATTTTCTTTGAACATTTTGGGTGTCTGGCACAACAGGACTCGGCTAGCACAAAATCTCCCTGCGAGATCCTGAGTATCGGTTCAGATTGCAGAAACCTCGTTTCCATCTAAAGCAGCAGCAGTAACTAGGTGTGCTGTACAGTCCCGGCACCAGACGCCTTGCTTACCACATGTGGTGGGTGGCAGAAGTGGTTGGATTCAGTGTCTTGGAATGAACAGAGGTTTCTGGCTGTGCCTAACATGACAGTACAGGAGGGCTTGGAAAGGCCGGTCAGGATGAAGAAATAGAAGCGATAGCTGTTCTCAGAGCACAAGACAGTGCCCCAAGGGACCTGCAAGTCAACTCATCTTCCCGCAGGACACTGCGGGGATGTTTCTGAACATTCCTCTGTTGTACAGCACACGGGAGGATGAGCAGCACCAGAGACACATGTTGTCATGATCAACATGACTGGAAGGAACATTCTTGCTGCTCAAGAGCTGGCCAAGCCGCTGCCAGGCTGCTCTGTGATCACCTCCTGGTGATTTCACCCCCGGACTGCGCACACCCAGCTCCAACCACCGATACGCCGGCTGGCTCCACCCCGGATTTGCCTACACTACGTCCCAAGGATTCTCTCTCAATAGCAGAAAGTGCCATCGCGGTTCCAAATGAATGAACCCCAAAACCACCCCGGAGCGGACAATGCCGAAGGGACTCTGCAGAGCTAGGGGCCAAGGAGTCTCGAGCATAAGGAGTTGAACCTCCCTGCGCTCTGATACAAGCTGAGTTTGTTTCAAGTTTGGCTGCATTTTAACTCCTGTCCTAAACCCGAGTTTAAGTTCTTTATCTAGAGCCAACAACAAGAAACTATCATTTGGCTAACAACACCTACCAGCTCTGAGTTTACAAAACAAAAAAAGTCTTCACAGTCCAACGTTGTTTTCTTTCCTTTTTGACATGCCAAGATCAGGGTGGATGTGGGGAGCCCCACCAGAATCCTTGGGCAGGGAAGAATAAAAACAAAATTGGGGTTACCATCAAGAGGAGAATCAGACTCCACACTCTCAGGAACATGCTGTTGATATTCAGGGGAGTCTGAGAGTGTGTCAGACGTGAGAGATCTCAAACACACTAACAGAAATGGCAGAAGGAATTTTTGCAGTTGCCGAGAAAAGAACCTGCATTTCCATGAGATACATACACCACTTCCAAAGATGCTATCATCGGCTCAAAAATGGAAACACACACCTAGGTTACAGCAGCAAATAGAGCGATTTAACGACAGTTAATGCAAGTGGTGGCATTGAGAGCCTTGCCGGCTGTAACCAGAGTCCGTGAGGATGTGTGGTCCTTGGAATCCAATCTATGGGCAGGGGCAACCCGTGCCTGAGATGTTGCACTGAACCAGTTAATTCACGTGGGTACCAGGGAATAAATCTCTCTTGCACAATTGCTACCATGACATATAGTGTCATTGTCACTTGCTGTAGGGGAGGCTGCCCAACTGCACAGGTACACACCATAACCGCTCCAACAGCGGTTTCATCCGAGGTATCCCCAGCCATTCAGATCTGCATTTACCTTCGGTGCAGCAGCAGCTCCTGCTGCCTCCGTAGCCGCTCACCCAAAGCAGAGCTGTCTTTTCCGTCTTTCAGTCTCTCCTGGAGAACCTCAAACAGGAAATGTCTCTGGGCATCCCAGCAGCCAGAAAGCAACTTTCGCCTGCACCGCAGCTCCAGCACCATCTCCTAAACAGGGAGGGGGCCGGGGGGAAACACTGTTTATCAGGGCTACACACTAGTTTGCATTCAAACCTTTTATGTTTCTCTGAAATAATACAAAGAGATTAATAAGAAAAAATATCTCTCAGCCTCCATGAGAGAGAATGTAATGAGAATGGAATGTCAACTTTGGTCAAATTCAAGGACTGAACATACAGATGTGGGTCGAAGTCTGACATCACCTGCAGCTTGCAGAGGATATCGGGATTGACCGACATCTTCGACTGGCCACAGCCACCGAGGTCCAACCTGCAGTTGAGAGACATGCCAGGTAACTAACGCTGTGAGCCCAGGGGGTGACACAATTCAAATAAAGTCAAATGGCTCCAGACGAACATAAAGCTCTAACACTAATGTGCCTTAACTAAGCTGTCGGTGAGACAGCAACTCTCCTCCATCCCTCCCTCCTCATTTTCCAGCTTCAGCCACTTCCTCAGAGGCACTGATGCTTGTCTGGCCAAACAAATTTGAATAAAATCCAACTTTAAAAAGACAAGACAGACTAGGGACTATCTGTGACTGCAGCCCCAGACCTCTGCCACCTAAAGCAAGATTCTTATGCAAAGACCGGTGAGTCACGCAGAGCCACCTCCCAGCTCCCGCTGCCAGCCAGACCCGTGAGAAGGGAATTGCTTCCCCTCAGGAACACGCAGCCCCCCGTGGGGCACAGGCTCGCAGCTCCTAGCTGGCAAGGTTCAATCAGAACTATTGCCCCTGCAGAAATGCAAGTAGCGATACAGAATACCTTTGTGAGGAATCCAGAATGGCGTTGATGATAATGCCACAGGCCTTCGCCAGGTCTCCGTCACAGCCCCCAGAAGCAGAAGGGGCTGGAAGGTACCATTGGTAGATAGCCCAGTAATGGAAATCCTGTCTGCAATGTTGGAAAGGAGAAGATGGGAAATCTATCACAGCATTTGAACGGTGCCCTTCCCTTGATGGAAAAGGAAGCTCACCAAGTGGAACGACAGATAAAAGCACCCATACAAGTACAGATATAAAAAGAGTCAGCACATGGCCTGATGTCAGCTGTTTCTTGCTTACAGAAACACAGAAGTTTTGTGAAAAGTGACTTGGAAGGAAGGACTGCACATGCAGGCCAGGGGTTATCTTGGTGAACTTCCTCAAGTTAAAACACATGCCTCAGTCCAGCACTGCTCAAACTCATAGTCGACAGACATTTGTGTCCCACAGCAGCATGTTTATTTACTTCCCGATCTTCAACGCTTTTTCCTCATTGAGTGGGACAGACTCTTGAACTCTTCCCTTTACCAGGGCCCCTTGGCACTCACCTTTCGAAAGCAGAGAGAATATCCTTCTCAGGGTACACTTCCAGCTCCAACAGCAGCCACTCTCTGAAAGACAACTGGGAAAAGCAGTGATTTGGGGAAGAGGGCAGACCAGCCAGGCAAGTAACTTTTTCCCACCATAAAACCCACCTTCACCCCCACCCAGACACGCTCCTGCACAGATGAAAGGACATGAAACAGGAGATATCCACCCAAGGAAGTTCCTGGGCTGCTTCCCTTGCAAGAGATCTAAACTCAAGCCCTGCTGGCATTCACAAATGTACTGAAACCAAGGCTATAAAGCATCTCTGGCACACACCCACGCACCCGCCCCCCTTTGACATTTCCAAACACCCTCATCATCCTAAAGTCTAGATACCAGAATGAACATATGCTATTAGAAATAAATGCTAAAATGAACAAAGCGCCACAGTCAGACAGACCTGTGTAGCATCAAAGAAAGGTTATAACGCAAAGGTCTCTCAGCCTCGCACACCCAGCGAGCCAAGCACAAGGAGCCCTTCTAGTAACATGACAGACTCCTCTGCACACAGACAAACTGGTTTTAGATTAACTAGGTTAAAAAAATAAACCCTGTCAAATCAGATCCATCGCAGGGGTGGCATAAAGAGAATATCCGAGACGTTAGCCTGCTTCACAGCAAGGCAGAGCCAAACAACCTGAGACACACAGGTGGGTCAGGAGAACGCTGACATTTAGACAAAGCACCAAAAAAAGCAAGCAAGTATTTTCAGTGCTGTGACTCGCCGTCACTTCACAGACAGGACACAGTAGGAAGGATGGGTCTTTTCTCTGCAGTTCCTGAGCATTTTCTTACTGATATGGTACCTCTCGTCAAGCTTTCTGCTTTTGCAATAAATAAAAAACTAGAGGTAAAGCGTTTGTGTCCTATTCCTGCCTTATCATCACCATCGAAACCTACCACTGAGAACATCACCTAGCGCACACAACATCCTCCAACCGTCAGACCAGCTTTCCAGGCATTAAATTTTTACAAGAAGCTTTTCATCATCAATGAGGAAATTGCAAAGGGCAGATCTGAAGAATGAGAATTACAGTGTGAACTTAAGTCATGGAAAAGATTTATACCTGGAATGTTTTTTCCTTCAAGAGCTCTTGAAAGCGTGCTTGCTTCCACAAGCAGAGGCTGGCTCTTTTGTAGTTCCGAGAGGGGCACGACAGGGAACTCCAGACTATGTCAGCTTTACCCTCCTCATGCAGGATTCCCCGAGCTTCCAAGCAGAGCCGTGGCACGATGTACTGCAGCTAAAACAAAGCCATAAAAACATTTCCACCACAAAAAAAAGCCCAGTGTAGCCTCTGGTTGTGTGAAGCTGCCAAGCAAGCAAACACACAAGATGGGAGGGTACAAAGATGCATTTTTATACATTTTTCTTTGTACAAGTTGTAGCTCCACAGGAGTCTGCAGGGGGAAATTGAACTGAGACTGATGTTTCTCATAAGAAATAGCAAGATTTTTTTTTCCTTTTACCTTTTTAACAAGACTGGGAGGAAGCAAGGCACACAACTCTTCCCGAGAATAGGATGAAAACTTGCACATAAGATAAGATGCTGCTGCAGTGCAAAACCTGATAGAGAAAAAGAAAGAATTCCATTATCTGGTTCGTTCAATCACACCTTATCCCACTCATGGAAGTCCAAAGTCAAAACACAGACTGAGTGTTAAAAATGCTTTTAACCAGCACGTTCTAAATTTTTTGCTTTTGGGATCGCTTCTGCTTATGTGCTCCCAAGCCCAAGGACATTCATGGCACAAATTTCAGAACTAGAGATTGAATTAAAACCCTTGACAGTGCTCAGTCGCCAGCACCCCTCCTGTGGCAAACCCAAACCCGCCACCTGGTGAAGCAAGGATGTGGTGGATTTGTTATCTAACCTCATGCAGAAGGCGAATGACTCTGGGGTCCTACACACTAGCAAGCAGTTCCAGTACTCGGAAATGGATAGGACCTTTTCGGGGACAGGCTGGGAAATCCCAAACCTGACTTCCACTTCAGGAATTAAAGCTCTGGATTCACTCAAGTGGATCACAAATGCTGCTAGTCCTAAAATGTGAGCATCCTTCAAGGAAGGACCCTGCAAGCCAAACAGAAGTAGAGAACCAAAAAAAGAGAGAGACTTTAATTTGTAACAGAACCACCTTTCTCAGAAAAAAAAGCTCAGAATTAATCAAGTAGCAGAACATTGCTTCTGCCCATTGGCTAATTAACGCAGCATTATCAGTTTAGCAGATGAGAGGCAGCAGTTCCATTAAACATGTTCTTCCTTCCTTGAAATTGCGCAGCTATCTTTAGTCAACCTGCAGCAAAATTTGTATGTTTCTGTAACACAGGAACTTGAAGCAACTTGCTGTAAACTCAGTCCAGCAGGATTTGAGGGTCTCAAGGCATTTTAGCTTCTATGACACCTAATCTAGTCTATCAGTCTTCTAATCTCACCCTTGCAATATCACAGGGTAAAGGAAATAAAACCAATAGTTCTTCAAAAGAAAACCACACAGTGCTGCACCCCAGATTTGGGGGGTTTTCTTTTCTTTTTGAAAGGGGTGTACAGCTCAATTATCCAATGTGGAAGCTTAGGAATTAAGCATTCTGCTATGTTTCTTTTGGCTCTGTTCATAAACTTGCTTTATTATAGCTTCTGTTAAAATGTATCTCAGAATGCATTAACCTTCTGCAGCAGCACTTCTGCAGGAAAACATCCAGCTCGCAGTCCTGATAGCAAGCTGTGCTATTTGTCCAAAATGAGGTTTTGTTTCTGGTTTGGTTTTTTTTTTGGAAGCCTGAGAGCTAGTGAAGTCCCTCCACAGTGCAGTCCAGACAGGCACATGCCCCCCAGCTCAGGAAATGGCGCTGGGATAGCCTTTAGCATGCTATAACTATACGATTCTTGGTTGGAAAACTAACCTGGTGATAAATAAGCTGGCAAAGCCTGCCCAGAAGGGTCGGTAGGAGATTCCTGTGTCCACACATCATCTTCACAAACAAGGAGAGACATGGTCCCTGCCTGAAGAAGGCAAAACCACATGCTCATTTGACTGCTGCATTTTATCCCCAGTACAGGAAGAGGTATTTAAAAATGCTTAAAACATTGCCACACTTGTCTGTAAACACAGGACAATTATCATTCCATTTACAGGCTCAAAGGAAGCGTCACTTTTGGAGTATCTGAGCAGAGGACCCCTACAAAGGCAGGAACTCCACCAGTGCACTTGATCATATCCAGCCAGAGAGGAGTGCTGGGATGAGGACGAGGAGAGGAGGAAGCTGCCTGGGGCACAGACAGCTTTTTTTCAGACAGAGAGCACGAGGTAAACAGAGGCAGAGCAATAAATGGGATCAAAAAACAGAGCAAGAGCAAAAAAGGAATTCATATGACAAGGTCCTCTTGCAAAAGGGAAGGAGGGACTTTCCCACCCAGCTGAGAGAAAAAAAAAACATCCTCAGAGGAGATCAGATGGGGAGTTGGGTTTAGAAACAATTTCCTGGGATGCTCTTGTTTATCACAGGTACTTTTGAGCACAGGTTTCCAATGCAGATTCATCTGCTCCAGGGCAAAACAGTGTAAAAGAGAGGGAAAGATATGCTGGCTGCCAAGGCAGTGGAGGAGCGCTAACATTCCCTCCTCAAACAGGCCAGACTCAGAGTCGCTGCCAGGGGGACAAGGGGACGGGAGGTAGAGAGGTGTATCCTGCTGCTCTCCCCGTGCCTGCAGCGTTAGACTTCCTGCCTCACTCATTTCATGTTACATACAGCACTCGAGATGAAGGCTGAGGTGCCTGGATCTGCAAAAGCACCGAACGTGCCAGAAGGACACCCTGAAGACACATCGCTGCTCACTGTCAAAAGACAAGCATTGTCCTCTCCTGATCTCTGCTGCCAGCCAGCCAGGAATTCCTGGGCAAAAAGAATTTGCTTCATCCCCCATCCCTCAGCATGGAGCTGGAACCACCAGCCTGAGCACGTAGGATTTGTGGAAAGCTTTCATACGTTGTCACAGAGCCCAAAGCAGAGGCAAATGGCAGCTTTTTCTGAAGAGATGGGTAACAACAGAGGAGAAACATGTTTTATGGACACAAATACATGGGAGCACACTAGTTCTTAGATTACAGAAATGCAGAACCAAGCAGCCTGCAATTGCCAGCCTGGCACAGCGGGTATGGACAACCAGAAGTCCCTCCTCGCCCCCAGACAAGGGCTGGGATCCCAGCGTATTACCAGTTTTGGCTTCCCTGCTCTTTTACTTGCATCTTACCTGTCGGGAGGGTTAAAATAGGAAGCAGCTATTAGGTTCTGGCAGAATGATGTCAGCAGAAGATCAACAACCTGCAATAAGAGACACACTGCTAATTCCTACTTGTTGAGCTGGATATCTAGGGCTAGTTTCCTGCTGCGTCTGTATTATGTTTCCCGACATTAAAACAAGGAGACAAACTGGTTAATGACATTCAGTGCAAGTTGTCCAGATCCACTGGCACCAAGACGAGATGGAAAGTTAAGCTCATAACAGCCCAGGAGTGATCCCAGCACACAAGGAATATCCAGACAAGCCCAGTGAGGAAAGCCTGGCTCATCACAGGACTGCTCTGATAGAATATATCTCCAGATCTCGCCACCACACATCCTACAGCTTCCAGGTTAAAATGTATGAACAGTCTGTGCACAAGGCAGGCAAAAGGAGAAGTCTGGTCCCTGTTCTCCGCAGACAAAGCGACCTTTCACACCTACCACCCAGCCACGTGTTTACCCACCCAGCCCCGCTCCCTTCCCACCCCAGCCAGATGGCACTCACACTCTGATGGCAGGGCTCCAGCCTGGGGGCAGAAATGTCAACTGGGATTGGAGAATTCAATGGAGCAGCTTCATTCTCATCACTGCTGGGACCCAGGACGCTTGCGAGTCTGTCAGAAATCACTGCGATCTGTGCCGGCACATCTGCAGGACATTAACAGAAGAGGAGAACCAGGACAGAAGGCATGAAGGAGTCACAACTCCACACAGCAGGAAGAAGAACTAGGGAAATGTACACTCTAATTGACCAGAGCCCAAAGTATGTTGTGAAAAGCTTTAACGAGAAAACTATTAGCCAGAACACAGTGAGCACCATCTCCATTTTAGAAGAGAGCATTATTTTTTCCTCAGTACTGTTACCAACACACAGTAAGAACAGTTTTTCACACCAGAAAGGAAACACCCTTCGCAAGGGGCCCAAGTCACCAGGCGAGCCCCGGCGTGGGACTGCCAATCTTGGCAAAGATCAGCATGGTACCGTGTGATCATCACAAAGACACAGACCTGAAGTCCCAAACTCAAGCAGGGCAAATAGATCAGACATTAAAATATATATGTATTCATAGCTAGAGGAATTATACCGATCTGAAAGATCACCACCTTCAGGTACCAGTGGCAAGTAACTCCTGTGTGGCTTTGGCCAGCGTGAGCCACGCTGTATTAATGCAGCTTTTGTGACAGTCACTTATGGGTGGTTACACCTTGCTTTCCTGCATACCTTCGGATTTAGCTTGGTCCACAACCAGCATCCTCAGGTCAGCCAGCTCAGCCTTCAGCTGCTCCACAGGCTCTTTGGAGTTGCTGCTCTCTACTTGGGATTCATCTAGACGAGTAAGAGAGAAATGCAACACGTTATCCTGACCCTCGTGCATTACATCAGTTCATTAACTGCATTCAGCAACCTCTGCATACATTTTCTGTAAAAGCAGTACTTACTTTTCTATAAGCTGTAACAGGTCCCCAAACTGTCAATGTGCCACACATGCAGCTTTGTTTTCATGTTCAGAATGTGCTATTTGATGAATAATTTATGAGTTTGTGACTAGCTGCAGAAAGGAATTAAGTTTTTAAAGACAAGAGGCCTGAAAGCCTGCTTGCAGAGTTTTCCTCCTACTGGCTATACCTCTTTTCCCCTCACAGAAACATTTGCTGTCCTCAGAAGACGGGAACCAGCCTCAAAAATACAGAGACAGACATTCCAGCGTGAATACTGCATCATCAAGCCAACACCACGCAACATCTCCAGATGTCACACGTTACTCTGTTCTGCCTTTTGTTTGAAAGAAGAAATAAAAGGAAATTCCTTTTACCACTAGAAAGAGTGCCACCAGCAGCAAGCTGCCCCAGCGCAGCCCCAAAAACCACCCGCACAGCTCGTGAGACAGGAACAGCGCCTTGCGCACGGGCCAGAAATAACCCAGCCGTGAACAAGAGCAGTAAATAACAAGGTTAAAATTAATACTTGTTATAAACATGCTGCAAAGCAGCAAGGTGTTCAGAGACTGCTGAGTCACCTCTGTGTGTAAGAGCGAGCACGAAGGACCAGAGAAGGCTCCGAGCTGACCAGTGCTCGTCCTGCCCAAAATCCAGCCTCTGTGCCGGGATGCAGGGGACGGGAGGGGACACAGCTCAGCTGACCAGGATGCAGGGGACACTGCTGGGGCTGTGCCACTAGAGGTCCCTGGCAATTCAGGGACTCCAGCAGAGCTCCAGCTGCCCGCTGGGATCCTGCCGATCCCGCAGGCAAGGAGCCTTCATCCCTGCCGGTTGCCAGGACAACCTCCGCAGCCAGACTGCTGCACATCTGCAGTCCCCAGGACTGCTTTGTCACTGCTCCCGAGCTGCAGCATCTCCAGAAAGCTTCAGATGCCCGAGGTGCCCTGAGCAGGAGTCAGTTACAGATCTGTCTCTATACCCAGAGTGCTCTTATCTCCATCACACCCTGGGAATGATCTCCACTCACTAGCCTGACCTTTCCATTTCATATAACCCTGCAGTGAGGACAGTGCCCGTTTTAAGATGCGTTTGAACACCCACTTGCTGAAAGAGATGAGAGCTCATTAAATATCTGTTACACTGACACACACTGCACCAGTAACGCAGCCACAGCAACGGCACCCGGAACGCGGGGGCCCTCCCACCCCAACGTGTGTAACCCTGCACTGCGGTCCCTTACGGCTGGGTCCGTCCCCAGCCCCTCCTGTGTCCCTAGATCTCAGCCACACACATTAGTCCATTCTTAAAAGGGGATGATGGGGAGCTCAGGCAGCACAAGCACCGTTACGCAAGGGATCGACGCAGCAGGTTCAAACGCCAGGCGAGCCGGAGCAGAGAAGCATTCATGCTGCAAACGCTGATTCATGAGATGTGTTTGGGCTAGATTTAAATCAGCCAGCTCAGGCAGCGTTCGCAGCCTCAGCACGGCAAAAATCCCACCGAAGCAGGACAGGCAGAGAGAGGAATTGTGAGAGGGACTATTTAATACCTCAGTAAGACATGAAGAACATACACATATTTACATAGAGATTAAAGACCTCATCAGCTGTAACTTTTCAAAAATTTTCAGTTCAGGAGGGTATCAATGGAAAAATTAACTTTTCTTCAAACTGATCCATAAGTAAATGTTGTATTTTTTACCTTGTAACGTTTTCTCTTTCATAGCACGACAGGCTTGCAGGTATGTGGAGTACAAGTTTGAGGGTATTTTATCAGATCTGTAATAATAAAAATAAAAGACATTTATTATAGCCCATAACCACATTCAAACTTCAGCTTTATTAAATACAGGAGGAAACAGCAGCTGTGCTGTGAAATGTAATTACAGAGGCTCCAAAGCGTACAGAGCATCTGAAGCATTTTTTAATCATCATCTGACATGAGGGCCAGAAATTTATATCGAAGGCTTTCAAAGCAAGTATGACCCATGTGTAACACACACCACACAAAAGCAGCACTAGACATATTACTAATGCACGCACTAATACCTGTTTCATATGTGGAACGTGTCTAAGGTCACACAAGAGTGTGAGTTATGTGACATGCAGCACTCACACAGCTAAAACGCCGATGTGATGGAGCCCAAAGTTTGCCCTCCAACACTTGCTGGACAGGCACTTGTGACTAAACATACAACATGAGGCTCCCCAGAACTCAGCTGCTTCTCTTCCAGCTTTAATTTTAAAAAATGATCGTCTTTTTTAGAGTCAGGCTGGACTGACAAGGCAGGACCGAGAGCCTCATTTGCAGGCAGTGTTGGGAACATTTTTTCTTCATTGTAGGTTACAGAGGATTTACTGGATTTAAAATAAAGCTGTTTCCACATTGCGGAAAAGCACTTTTAAACATGCATACAGGACAAGCTTGTGTTCTGAGAGGGGCTGCATTCTCCTGGTGTCTCTTAAGAACAACTCATAAAGCTTTAACACAAATTTAAGTTTCATCTTCCTTGTCTTCCATATCCTCTCCCAAAGAGAAGAGAGCTTTTCACGGAGAGTTGAGGGGGGGAATCATCTTCCTGGTGAAATTATGTTCTGCAATATCCTCCAAAGTTTGCACAAAAAATATTCCTGGCCAGCAGTCAGAGGGCTGCATGGGTCTCCTTCTAGAGAAGGGTTCTGCTGTGGCTGAGGACTAATGACAGAACGGAACGCATTCACCTGTGCAGATAAGCTCCCCCATCCATAACCCGCAAGCCACACGCCTGGCCACGAAGCCCTGCCTGGAGGGTTAGCCAACACTCAGCGGTTTGGAAACAAGGTGTCAAAGCCTCCCATAATCCGATGTAAAGTCAAGTGTTCTGAAGAGAAAGTCCAGAAGCACAGAAAATGATACTGGGAAGTCTCAATACCTTTTTAAAGACTCTATAAAAGCCATGCGCACGTCTGGGGCTTTAGGGAGCTGCAACAGAGAAACAGGCGGGTTAGGAGCAAATTACCTGTCTGCAAACATACAGCCAAACGGGAGGATCAAAAAAAAAAAGCCAGAAACAAATACTAACCACACGTGGCCTGAGCAAAGCAGGAAGGAACCAGGAAGTATAATATGGTCGCCTGAAAATACTGAGACAGAAAAGAAATACAGCAAAATGTTAACAACGCCAGAGCTGCAAAGTGCCATTTCATTACCTCGAGGATTAATTTGGCTCCTGGAAATACGAAATATTCATGGAAACATGAATAACCACAGACAAATGAAGCTCAGATTAGCCAATAGTTATTAATTTCTTTCATTTTACTTTTTATTTATTACAACAATTGTGGACTTCTCTTGCAGGTGTGCACATGCCTGTTCGCTCTCTGCACAAACAGCCTCCGCTTAAGTGACTGCTGAGGAAGTGGGTAACACGGGAAGAATTTCCCAAAACCTCCTGTGCTCACACCCTCAATTTTTCCTGCTTTGTTATTTTGATTTGCACTTGGCTTGTACTATTATTATAGCTAAACCCAAGAAGAGTTGCGAAGCACACGGTACCTGGCTTCTATGACAGACGTTGGGATCTTCCGCGTGTTCTCAAATATCTGAAGGGCCTTTTCCACGTCGCGCAGTGCCTGGCCCTGGGGCTGGCTCCCACAGGTAACAATGAGAGAAAGACTTTGTGAGAAATCCAGGATGACAATAACCTTCCCTGCTTGTTCTGTCAGGGTTAGTGACAGTTGTCTGTGCTGTGGAGGGAAGTGACTGAATAACCAGAACTACCCGATATGCAGGGTAAAACCACAGGATGGGGAAACAGCGCCTGGACCATCACCGTGCCCCGATCAGGCTGTTTGTAAATAACAGCTATCCTGGGTCAGCCCAAAGGCCCGCGGGGTTCTGAACGCACCCCCTACAGCAGACCCTGCTCAGCATCACACTGCTGACTCAGCTGTCCCCCATGGGGACAATATAATTTCTGTTCTGAGTTTGATTTCTTGTTATTCTGTTTTACTTCGTACACTCAGAATCAAGACCCATAATATTTGCTTCCAGCCTGCACTACCACACTCCAGGCAGAGGGACTGCTGCCCCGAGCTTCTCTTGTTTGAGCCATGTGGCATCTTAAGGCTGCAACAACCCGTGCTGGTTTCCCAGCTGACAAACGGATCAGACTTGGAAGAAATTAATTAAATCTTCACTTAGGGCTTTCGGTTCATCACAGGACTAGATTTCAATGGAGTACATTCAACTAACCGGTTGACTGACTGTATAAACGAGGCCCCCTGGTCTGCTGTACTTGGGATTGAAATACAGGGAGGAACAACAAAGCACAACAATAAAGGAACAATCCAAAATTCATCATGCACCGGAGTGTGAAACTGCAGACTATAAATTCCCTCCCCAAATCTCCCATAAATATGAACACTCGGAATACAACACCAAAGAGATGACATGCCATTCTGAAAATAATCCAGACACCTATCAAAGGCTTTCCCGCGTGATCAAATTGCTGGGAGCAAATCCAGAGAGGGAAGAGTCACCATTGTAACAAGCTGGTCAATTGGCACAGCTAACGCAGCACCAGCTCCTGCGACCCTGTGCTCTGCATTCCCACACCATACAGCACCATTGGATCTCCCTTTGTCCCTTAAATCCTCCCCCACAGAATCTTCCAGTTATTTTCCACACCCCACAGTAGAGGATGAGCAAGATGTAGCCAGCGCTTTCCTGCTTCAAACAGCGGGTGCTGACAGCATGGATAATGTAGGTGCTGCTGGCTAATTGCTGCGTTCCTCTGCAGCCTCATCATGGAACACTCATCACAGTTTGTTTCTCCTCTGTGTAAGCCCAGTTTTCATGAAATCTGGGGAGAGTCTGCATATTTATGGCCACTAACCCCTCTGACTTAAAGCTGGAGCATGCTCAAAGCTGGTAGGAAGAGCAGAGAGGTTGCTAACCTAAGCCCTTTTCCAGAAGAAAAGGGGCACAACTGCGGATAGAACCGTTGAGACAGGCCAGCAGTACCTGCACGGACTCATCCGTGGACGACAAGTCTTCGTAGAGCCCCATGTCTTCTATAGCCACCTGGGGGAGGTCACAGAGACACACGTGGTCACGACACAGCTGGTAGTTTGACAGATCCACAAAGAGCTCTCTTCAAAGAGACAGTTTTTACTAACCTTGAGATCAGCCAGCCTGGTTTTAGCCAGAGTGATGTACTCCAAGAGGATAGACCGGTGCTTTGTTGGCACAAAAGGCGGGTACATTATATGGACCTGAAATACGAAATTCACAATAGGATTTGCCATTTTTACAGGAAATTAGTGTAAAATTCTGGTTAATGTTTACAGTCGTTTACCTCAAATATTCCCCAAAGATGTTATTGCTTCTTTAAAGCAAGCCACTATCATGCCAACCGGCACGCAGTTTTTCCCCCAACAACAAACAAAATCACCAAAGTGCTTAAATTTAACTCTGAAAGGAGTTCAAGTAAATAAAAGAATCTTGTACTTGCTTATTTCAGGAAGAAAAGGTTTTGAATAACGTATCAGAAGCAATGTGGTTACTATAACAACACTAGCAATACACTGAACCTAATCAAAGGCACCGGTCCATGCGCTTTGGGGCAGTTCCGTACCCGTCTTTCGAAAGCCAGCCCCATTACCATCCTCTCACCTTCAGGTACGGTGCTGGTTCAAAGGGCACCAGCTCTGACAGGAACTCGAAGAGGAAGACTAGGGCTTTCTTACTGCTCCCGTGGTGACCACCAGCGTTCCCAAAGGAAGCCTGAGAGAGGGGAAACGACAACACAGCCTTTTGGCACGGAGGGAATCCCCATCCCAGCGATGCCGTAACTCGGCGCACAGACCCCAGACACTCGTGACAGACAGCTGCCTCCTGCCAAGAGAATCTTGCTGGAGAAAAGTCTCCAGAGAAAGTCTATAGGAGTCTCTACAGAAGTTTTATGAGTTTCTTTATCCAGTTTCCAGAAAGCCTGCCGTGCCCTGCTCAAAGCTTGTTCTGATGCACTACTATGAGAACACTCAGAGGAGTTAAACAAGGCAACACCAAAATATACCGAAGGATTGAGACTCATGAGGAAAGCACAAATCTGCCAGTCTCTACACAGCTTTACCTGTGCTTTATAAGGAAAATAATCCTGAGACGACGCAGAACATAAGTTTACCTTCTGATACACCCTGAACACTCCATCAGCTAAGGCTGAGCTTAGATTTACAAAGGAATTTACAGGTTTAAATTAGGCGGAGATTTGCATACCTAAAATACCTCCATGTTTACAGCCACAAGCTAACAACCTGCTACCTGCAAGGTCAAACACAGCAATTACAGCCGCATGCAAACCTCCAGGAAACAGGAGTGCTTCATCTGCAACAACCCACAACTTATGCAAGAACAGCGTGGTTATCAGGATACTGACATCCATCCAAGATGGTGATTGTAACAGGAATTACATGTCTGCATTCCTGACAAATAGCCAGGGAAGGCAAGATGGACTCGAAAGATGAAAGAAGGGAAAACCAGAGGAAGCCAAAGAAGTATATTCTTTGCAGACACAAAGGCAGTAATAAATATTAAATCATTCCTAATACCAATATAATCACTTGTTACTCTTCCTTTTTCCCCACCTGTCTCTCTAATTCCTGGCTATCTTGTCTGGAACTAGGTTTTCGCTGTGCAGCAGGACATTCCTTATGCGCAGGTTTCTCACATACTTAAAGATTGGGGTCTCATTTACTCTTACCTTGAACCACTCGGAGTAAGGCATGAACACGGCAGGGCCCTCCAGAGCAGCCTGACGAGCGATCAGGAACGCTGTGATCATATTTTCCATATCGTAATTCTCAAAGGCCTTTGACAGGAGACCTAGAAACATAATAACCACAAACTGTGCTCTTGACAACTGTTTGCTGTAATTTCCTACAGTAAATGAAGACAAATATCTGTGATAAAACACCTGCTGCATAAAGAAGGATGCGTATTGCACTTGGGGAACCTTCGGGACTCGCTTGTATTTTTCCCATGCACTTCCAATAGTCAGATACTCCGGGACTGCAGGGAGTCCAGCAATGAGATAATAAATAAACAAGGTCTGCCAGCAGTGGGGAGATGGAAGAACTAAGCTTCAGTGATCACTACTCCAATAACAAAGGTAATAATCAAATAACCACTCTTAGCTGCACACCGAGTTTGAGAAGCATCAGGCACAAGGTCTGGCATTCCCATCACTGCTGATGTGTGGTGACTGAACAGAAAAACAGATTTTCTGCTGTTGTTTCCCATGCAGGAATCTCAAAACTAACTCTGACGGACTGTGCTGCTACCCCCATTGGCAGGGTTTCCCCTGCGGTACCCGAGGAGCAGCAAGCCCACAGGAGCTCGCAGACTTGCCAGTTCCCACGTACCCTTGAACAGCTGCTCAGCCTCAGCCTGACAGACCGCCAGCGTGGACACGCAGGACAGGACATGCTGCCAGTTCACCTCCCGACTCTCCAGCACCTGCTGCAGCTGGCTGATTGACTCCTTCGCACCCAGGGCCACGAACAGCTGGAAGAGCGAGAGCGATTCATTTTAGCTAGGACATACAGCCACCCGGAAGGGTGCAATGCACTGTCAAGATTAACATGCAGATGTCTTCTGCGTGACTGTTGAAGCAGCTATTCCGTGTGCATTTTTGCATCAGCTTTCCTGGGCCAGATATCATTCTGGCTTGGAACCAGCACTGGCTAAAACAATGAGCAATAATCCAATTCTTTCAGAAGCCATGTCATGTCCTGTAGCACTAAAGTCTCACATCTTCGATTATTATCTTTGTTCTCATTAAGAGCTTTGCATAAAAGTCCCTTTTTCTCCAGAAGTCCTACTTTTTCCTCATGCTTCACACTGCCTACAGTTCCTGGCAGCTGGTTCAGGTTCTGCAATGCAGTTTTTAAATAATCTCATTTCAGGTGTTTCAGTGAATATAAACCCAACATAGTAAAGTTCTCGTTGTGAAACCAGAGACATACTTTGCGATACAAGGTAGTGAGTAGCGAACAAGTTCTCGTAAAGCTCCACTCTTTCTGCATATGGATGGCGTCAGACACTGCACAAAGAAAAATAAAAGTTTGCTCTTCGGCAATAATTTCAAAATACACCCCAAAACACATCACTTAACACACAAGATTTCCCTTTGGCTTTGACAGGCAGATACAGCAAAAACTGTCTGCCCAAATCCTTCCTCTCTTATTTGCCTTTGGAAGACGAACTGTGGCAGTGAGGACCGTGCCATCCCGCTACAGCACTGTCATCTCAGAGCTGTTCTTGAGATCACAAACTCACAGGCCAGCATAACGCATGCACAGAGAGATGGCAAGGAACCATCTTCTTCCTCAATCAGTTCTTTCAGCTGGAAGCCAGCAGTGACCCAGCTCTCCTGAACAGCAGGTCAGCAGCTCTAGATCACAGCTCAGAGGGATTTTACTGGAGATTTTGTGGCCCAAACATTTCCTTCTGAAAACATCAAGCTTCACAATTACCAGTCATGGATTAGAAGCCTCCCTGCCTTTAATCTACCAAAAGAAACAGCCAGTCAGCAGAGAAAGGCCACGTCTGGTGCTTAAACATGCAGGGACCAGAGTATCTTAGCCCCAAACACTCTCTGCAGCACCACCTCTCCCAGTCCATTTCTCCTTCGGCCAGAGCTCTCCCGTGTCTGCCCCATAAAGGCTGCTATTAGATGTTATTTCTGTCATTCTCTGATCCAAATTTCTGTATGAGCCATGGGCCGAAGCTCTCTTTGAAGGCACTGATTTTCTGCCTCAAGTTCTACCTGAACTACAGCCCTCTAAAGCCCAGATGAATTTTTTTGTCTGATCTGGCACTCTGCTTATACAGCCCCTGGGAAGGAGCTGGGGAGTCGGGCAGTTCTCTGGCTCTGGCTCCTCCTGGCTGGACTCTGCTCTGCGCAGGCTGGACAGGAGGGAGATCTGGACACACAATAACACACCCTGGAGACACTCACCCCTCCCCGCCTATTCCTACCTTTCAGCAATGGGCTGTAGGTAAGAACTTCGGTCAGGGTGTGTCTGAAAAACTGCTGCAAGGAATCCGGATGAACCGCACTGTTATAAACCGACACACTGAACACGTTCAGCCTACAAAGGACAAGGAAATATTCAGGAACAACGCACAGGAAGTGTGATCACCCAGGCACTGATTAGGGTGAATGACTCATTTTTCTTCCACATCTATCTTATCAAATTGCCAGCGTTCTATACTATTTCTATGTTTTTGGGGTTTTTTAAATCTATTGGTTAGGCTACATTCTGTAGCTATCAGATTTACAAACTTGAGTCTAATGTATACCGCTGCCCCAGACGGGACTGAAGGCTGACACGTACAAAGTGGTTAAACAAATCAGGTTTGGAAGCAGGAATTGGAGGAGATGATGGCACCTTCCAGGTGCTTCTGCTCAGCAGCAGAGTGAGAAAACTTGACGGGGAAACTCACCACATGCCAAGAGGGGGCTCCACGGTTGGTTCCAACACTGCCAGAACACCCCTCCCTACCTGACACTTATCTTTTTACAGGCATTTCCATTTGCTCATGTTTTATTAGAGGGAACACTAAACATAAGTAGCACTGTGGGGGCAGGGTGTCTGTAAATAAAAAAAAAAAAAAAAAACCAAAACATTCCCCCTATTTCAGTAACAAGTGCAACAGTGGATAAAAAAACCTCCTCATGACTTTATCTGGCGGAACAGTTTCTTACCAGAACCTCATAGCTTGCAACGTGGAAACATCTTCCTCCCTCTCTTTACCAACAGCGTCAAGCACCCCTGTACCCAAAATAAAGACACGAAAACACGGTGAGAGAAATAGAACTGTGACACTAAACAAAACAGGAACTCACTGGAACAAGCGATTTGGGCACCTTTAAGAAGGTGACCCCATTAGGGAAATATGTAGAAGCCATTCAGCAGCATTAAATTATTGCAGCTTTTTTTTCAGAAGTGACATGGAGACTCCAAAACTGTTAACACTAACCTTGAACAAATTTAAAAGCATTCCCAAGAATGTGCTAATAATTAAGCCACCTAAAAATGCACATAAATTAGTGTTTAATTTCCAAACCCAATCCTAATTGTGCAGTGCATGTGAGAGGGTGAACACTGCAAAGCTGCAAGAGAGAAAAATCTGTCTGGAGGCAGGGATTGGCACAAGCTTTGAATTAACAACGGCTGGAAACAATGGTCTGAACCAGCCCGGCCAAACAGAGAGCATGCTGATGCAAGTGCTGCAGTTTGTAACAGCAGCAGGACCTCATGTTACATTTGCTTAGCAGAAATTCCTTCAAAAGCTAGATCTGCCCCAGAAATGGCTGGTGGAGGTCAAACAGGTTGGCAGCTTGCACAGCACATTGCTTGCACCATCAGCCTCCACCGCTCGGAGCCCACACAGAGACCCTCTGCCTCACAGTCTGCTGCAGCATCACTTCTTCTGTTTCCTGTCCCATCCTACCCTTAAAAGCCTCCTCTTTTAACAGTTAAAATAATTTGTTTTATTTATTAGGATCATTCAGCAAAGCAGCCCTGAAAAGGAAATCTGCTGAGCTGGGGCAGCAGGACAGGCGTCCCTCACGTGCCTTTCGTAAGGCAGTCCACCGCGTTAAGGTGTAATGCTCTCCTCCCCTGATGAGGAATACTTTTAGTTTAAGTAGGGGAGAATAGAGAAAAGGAGATCAGTCTACTTATCCTTGGGCTCAGGAGCTCAATACAGCAAAATCATCGCTATGAAGCACAGTGCTCCCATGCCACTCTCTGCCTGTCCTTCTCCTGTGAAGGTCTTCATTAACTGGGAATTATTTTACATAAAGAATCCTAATGTTCCTCAAAATGGACAATTAGCTAAGTGAAACCCCTCAAAGGTGACCCAAAAGCATACAGGAACAAAAATATCATATATAAAACTCGTTCAATACATTTTCAGACACACAGACTGCAAGTCAGCGGCAGCGCAGGCTGCACGAACGTGAAGGTCAAATGAAGAGCAGGATAGCTCCGACTCCCGCCTGACTGCTTCTCTTCCTCCAAAATCCCCCAGTCCTGTGTCGATAAGGGTTATTTTTCAACTACCGACCCTGCTAAGGTGTCACCTGAGATGACACTCATACATATTAAATAATAAAGCACCTCTCTTAGAGCTTTCCCCTTTTAGAACCACCCCGCACAGTCTGTAAGGCATCTCTGCCTGCAGACAACACTCCCCGCGAGACTGGGTGTGAGGGGTTAGGCAGTGCCCACAGGGAGAGACGCAGAAGGGAGGGAGCCGTCCCCGGGCTGTGTCCTGGTTTTCAGCTGTCCTACAGCAGAGGAAAAGCACCAACCTCTGCAGCAGCACCCAGCGTGTTGCCGAAATGCGCCAGCAAGAGAAGTGGTAAAGTGCTGTCGCTAAGGAGACAGGGGAGTAACCGCAGCCACACAGATTGTACTAACAGCTGGTGTACGGCACGCAAGGAGGTGTAAGCGAACGCTTCCTCCACTGTACAGCAGATACAGCAATTTACCGTGAAGATCATCTGTGACACAAGTCAAAAATAACCCTCACGTGTGTTTAGTCTTTCTGCACGGGGATTTGCAATGCAAAGCAGACACTACTACGCTTGAGCTCGCAGCAGCAGCATCAGGACTGCCCAGGACACGTTGGCCGTTGGCACAGTTCTTGAAGACTGGCTGTTTAAAGACTACACATGTACGTTAGGTGTCTTTGCTCAGCATAAAAAAAAGAAAAAAAAAGTTTCACAAAATGTTGGTTTGCAAATCCAAACCATGAAGCAGCAAAATAGTTTACACATAACTTTGTAAATTCAAAGTTTAATTTACTAAGCAGAAAAAATTCTCTGAGCTTAACCTCTGTGCTGTGACAGGCTGGATTGCTTCCAGTCAGGGTTGTTAAAAATCATCTCAGATATCAACCTGATGTTGCAGCTGGGAGCATCAAAATGAATGAGCATAACAAGCAAGAAATTATCTGCGGCGTCAGGAGACACTCTACAGGAGCAAAAGGGAAAACAGAGGCACAGTGTCGGTGACAAATATTATGCACACGAGAGGAGAAGCATCCCAGGCAGAGGGCTTCTCCTCAGAGATTTAGCAATGAACAGGGAAGGTAAGTCTAGGAAACAGCAGTGACTGCACAAAGCTAGGAATCACAAAAACACTCACATGTCAGCATTCTTTGTAAGACGGCATGGCAGATCTGTTCAAAATGGACAGATTAAGACCTTTTAGAGTTTGAAAGAGCTACAGTTATATGCAGAGAAAGTAAATTGACTCAAAGAAAGAGTTTTGTTCCTCTTAACTTAAAGCTTAACTTTGCCTCAGGCTTCCTGGTGGAACAGCTCCAACAGACAGCAGCATTTCCCCTGCTCACCAGCATTCCCTGCTTCCCATTCAAATAGAAAGAGAGCAATCAAGGTGAAACCAGGGAAGCTTAAATAGCCCTTGACACCTCACCTTGGAGAAATTCTCCATACAAAACGTCTTTGTTCTGGTTTCACCATTTCCTCCTCACCCCCTCCAGCACCGGGACCACCACCCTCTCTTTGTTGCTCTAAGCCGATTACATTGACACTCAGCCGAGGCAATGGAACTAGTTTTTTAAAGAACCCTTAGTAAAAAGCTTCATTTTGCCCTTACATGGGGGACTTTCTTGAATTCGAGCTTCCTCTCCAGCTCGGAAGTTTGCTGAAAGCCGTTCTGAAGAAACACGATCGCAAAGTCTGCAAATCAAGAAGGAATTAGCGTTCCAGCATCCTCTTTCAGTAATGATCGCTGGCTCTCCTGAGAGCACTAGTGTCTGAAAGCCTCATTCACTGCAGCAGTCAGCGGGAATCATTTATTTTCTTGGGAGTAAAATTACTCCCAGGCAAAAGGGCCTAGAACAATGGATGGCAAGGGGCACAGAAACTTTAAGGATTATAAAGACTAAAGAATTTACAGGTCTTTTGTTCTGTTACCGCTGAAGAACTCTTCTGGGCTGTGCCTGACCAAGGGCACTTGTCCAAAGGTCTGACTGAGGCTCTTCAGTCAAACTGTGGAGTGATTTTTTTCTAACCAAAACCACTAAATAAATAATAGAAAATGATGGGAGGAAATGGAGCTGTTTAATATTTCTGGTCCAAAACATCGCTGACACTTTGCAGGAGCGTCACACTCTCAATACATCATCCCAGGCCCCATACGCTTTGCAATTACACTTTCTTGTGATACTATAACTCAACGGGTATAGAAATTCAAACCAAGTGTCTTTTAAGGGGAAAAAAAAATACCAACAACTAAATTTACGAAATATATGTGTTCTCCTCACTGAAACAAGGTAAGAAAATGCAAAGCGAGGCCTCTGTTCTTGCACAGCCCTGCAGCAGGCTGTGCAGCCCGGCCCCGCTCCACTAGCGCCCAGCGAGTGCCTTGCCTGAGAGGATGCGCCCAGCCAGCTCCGCGTCCCCGGGGGACTCCTCAGCCTGCTCGCAGAGGCCGCAGAGGCTGCTGCACAGCCACTCCACCGCAGCAGGGACGGCCAGATTGCTGAGAACAAACAAAATCACATTCAGTTCAACCCCTCCTGCTCTTTATAAGGCTTGGGTTTTTGCTCCACCATCCCCTTGGACTTTGGAAAGAACAATCTGTGCAGGACTCTGCCCCATAGGTGGCATTTCACATCTTTAATTTGGACCAGCAAGAGCTTTATTTGCTTTACAAAAAGATTCCACAACAAACACATCAAAGGAAAAAAAAAAAGATGGGAGATGGTACATTCAAGTATTTCCTCATCTCTGACATTCAAGTATTTCCTTTTAGAAAGTGCTACCAGAAGAAAGACTTTAGCTCTTATTTCTAAGAGACTTGGATAAAAATGCTTTTAAAAATTAAGCTCTTAATCTATCCCTTTGGTGCTCTTCATCTATCCCTTCAGCTTCCTTAGATTTGAAGTACAGTGGGCACTGCAGGCTTTTTTCCTATCCCATTAACAGACAAGGAAACCAACAGCAAAGACCTAAAAGTTCACTGTAATTGTCCCTCAACACCATAAGAAAACAACCTGAACATCACAAAGGATAACTGGTTTCAGCTGTTAGCTCTGTACTGGGGGGGAAAAAAAAAAAATCATTTTCTTAGAATAACTATTCTCTGGAGGTTAGGCTCCAGCCCTTACTGCAGTGTGAGGTGTTGTGAGGACAGGAGCACACAGCTCCTGCAAAGCGAGACTTCCCGTCAAGCCCAGCACTCCTCTTTACAGGATAAATGAGTCTCCAAGGCAGACCTGGAGGCACGGCCG